CCCCCCGCAGCAACAACAAAAACAAAACACCCCCCCCTCGCAGCAACAGCAAAACAGCAGCAACAGCAAAAAATAAAACGCACTCTTACCTTATTTTGGGCTTTTCGGGTTTGGGGCATATGGTTTTCAGTCTAGGAAGTGTTTTCAAGCGTTACGACCGAGGCTTTGGGTTTTCGGGATGATCGTTTCCGGGCTTGCAGTTTGGTGCCGGATTCAGGCAACGAGGGGCTTCCATGCGGTTGCAGAAATGCAGTCCTTATCGTGTTCTCAGCATAATATACTCTAGTATACTCCCCAAACCCTACTTGATTGATGATGGCCACTATCGCTAAATCCTACTATACTGCTGAAGGCCCCTGTAGTACGGAGTTGAACTCATGAAATCTAGTGCGGCGGAGGTTCGGCAGATCTTCGACAGCGCCATGGATGCAACTAAGACCCACACTCCGAACCTCATAACCCTCTGGAGTTACGTTTGTAATCGGGGTTTTGGGTTGACGGTTTAGGGATGTTTAGGGTTTAGGATTCCTTGATGAGCCTCTTAGGCTAAGGGTCGAACCTCATGAGACAAATAGCCTCACCATTACCACCATATTGGTGTACTTGGCCTTTAGGGTGTAGGGTCAGGGTAAACAGCAAGAGCCATCCATCTCCGTTACCGTCGTTAGCATCATCCCATCATCACCATCATCATCATCATCGTGGTCATCGCCACTCAACATCGTGATCACCATGCTCATCTTCTTCATATTCGTCACAGTCGCAATGAGGTACTAGTACCACCGACGACAGCATGTCCGCCATCGTCGGCACCATCGTCACTGGTATCATCGTAAATAGCCCGTCGTAATTCTCGGCATCCTCGCCATCACCAGCACCATGAGCATTTTCGACGGTGTTATCGTCATCGTCATCGTCGACAACAACAGGATCAATATGAATGTCATCCTGTTTCTCATTTTCCTTGCCATGGTCGACTGCATCTCACTATCGTCATCTTCGGCAGTAGAACGCCAGCATGATCGCTAGAACAAACATCTTTTCACATCCTCTCCTGGCTCCAACATGCACAGAGGTATCGACCGAGACCACGACGGTTTTATCTCCTCCACTGACATGGAGGACTTCCTCAACGGGCCTCTTTGCTTGTAACAGTTTCTCAGCTACTGGGGTCTCGCGTGCCGGCTTTTTTAGTGTATGTAGTTTCGGTTTTGTCGCTGCAGCCGTGCGTTGTGCATTTTTCACCGTTGGGGCTTGTTTTTTTTTTCCATCGCTTCAGGTTTGGAGGCCAGGCAAGTCCTGCCTGTAGTACCGCCTTCGCCTTGGAGTCTTACAGGCTGCTTTCGGGCAATGATCGAAAAGTTTCTCATGGCTTTCTCCAGCTCCAACCCATGTGCACAAAGTGTTTGGAATGGACAGGAATAGCGCACTTACTGCCATGTAGGCCAAAAGTGTTCATGGTCCCGACCCTGATACATACATCCTTTCCTCCACCACTGTCTCCGTTACAAACCTACCGATCGTTTTGATAAAGTCTGGTAGAAGCGTCTAGTGCTGAGTCTATGTGGGGGAGTGCGAAACAACGTGCCGGGCGTTGTTTGCTCCAGACTCGAACAGCTTCAGCCCATAGCCCCGACCTCTATACCCCGAACACGCTTTGTATCGTGAGTTCAGTAAACACATAGCAGGTCATTCTTTCGTGTTTGGTGTTCGAGCGTCTTAAATTTCAATTCTCCCCGTATCTGGTAGAGGTTTCTATAGAAATACTCGTATTCGTGCACATGTACCTGCATGCATACAATCTAGAATGTCGAGTGGAACGCATCCAGTTTTTTATAGTCGTTTTTTGCCTTTGCATTCCTATGCGGCTCTTAGTTGCAGTTTGCATAATTGCTTGTCTCGACACAAACTTCTGACACGAATCAGTCATCGCTGCGATTCCCGTGTCCTGCTGCAATCGTTACACATACTTCTTCTCTGTCTGGCGTGATGGGTATCAGCTTGATGAGACTCTGAGATGGTGTTTCCACTGTGGGCGTTGTATCTTTTTGTGGGACACATCGTTCCTGCTTTGTGTTCCTTGCTTCAGGCGCGGATTGTGTTGCTTTCGTATGACATGTGTCGTTGACTATCGTGTTTTCTTGGAGATTCACAGAGTTGATGGTCAACACAGCTCAGGTGGATGTGCCGCATGGGGCGCTTGGCGCACTCTTTGCCGTTTGCTCTCAATCTCAGCAACCCCTGCACAGCCAATGACGCCAACCCTAACACTCAAACCTAAGCCCTAATCCCTTGAAGCCGTCAACCGGTCACCCGGCCCTAAACCCTAAACCCTAAACTCTAAACCCTAAACTCTAAACCCTAAACTCTAAACCCTAAACCCTAAACCCTAAACTCTAAACCCTAAACCCCAAACCCTAAACCAAATCTGAAGCTCAAAGCGCTCAATGCCAGGGCCGGAAAAACCGACGGCCTGAGGGACCAAGCAAAAGGTCCCTCCCGGACCTGCGGGTTTAGGGTTTAGGGTTTAGGGTTTAGGGCTTAGGTGCACTTTGCCAAACTGAACTAGTTAATGTAGGGGCCTTGATAATTCGAAGAGGATTTTGGGCTCCTTTGAAGTATCATTAGAATAAGCAGTAATTATTCAGGTTTTTATAGTCGTCTCTCAAACCAGGATTTACACCTCATGGAGCCTTGGTGAGCATTGGGAACATCAAACGGTCAGTATTCGACGACCTAATATAGGGTTCTTAACAATTAGAATAATTAGGGGTTTGGGATACATTCTACTATAGTCATAGTAAGGAAACCCGAAATAGTATAGGTGATTATTAAGGCCTCTATACTAGGTTCAAGACCTGGTCCTACTGTTTCTGACATTCCCGTAGACTTTATCATGAGACTATCAGGGCCCAGTGCTTCGGTAGTGGTAGGTAACAGAACATAGGGGCCTTAATAGTCACCTATACTATTTTGCAGGTTCCTTGTTTTAAGTATAGAGCAACATAACCCGAAACTCTATTCTAATTATAAAGGCCCCTAAACCCTAAACCCTTGTGGTAGCCCCTACAGAACCCTTTAAAGGAACTCTTCACAGGAACCCCCAAAACCCTACTATTCCAATTATTAGGGCTTTTTTTACCCGCTGTACTATAGCAAGCCCAGGAAAACCTTGTCCATGCCGGCGCGACCCAGCTCAGATGTCCACGCGCTCCTGCAGCTCGCTGACTTGGACGAGGAGCAACAAACCCACGCAGATAATGCTGGGGCCTTAACAATTGGAATAGGGTTGTTGGGGTATATCATACTATAATTACAATAAGGAACCCCCCAAAATAGTATAGGTAATTATTAAGGCCCCTATATTATCCGGTTGACTTACAAAGTCTTACAAGCCATTTAAGTAGACAGTGATCATTTGCATCTACTTGAATGCAGACAAACAGATAGATAGACAGAGATTCATACATTCATGTATTATTTCGGGTCGTTTCTGTTCTTTCCATTTTCCCACTTCATGCATTTGTTCGTTCATTCGTTCGCTCATTGATCCTTCCTCTCATCGATTCATCCGTGTACTAGTTATTTAGTATTTCTTCACTTCCATGATTCGTTCTTTACCCTCTAAACCCCTATACCCAAAACCCCTAAACCCTAAACCATTAGTCTTTCATCCGTTGGCGCATTCTGATGGCCGCAGGTACCGAATTCAGATGCCTGACTAAACTGCCCCAAGCTCCTGTAGAGCTTAGGGTTCAGAGCTGTTTAGGTTTAGAGCTTCGGGTTCAGAGCTGTTTAGGTTTAGAGCTTCGGGTTCAGAGCTGTTTAGGTTTAGAGCTTAGGGTTCAGGGATGTTTAGGTTTTAGAGCTTAGGGTTCAGAGATGTTTAGAGTTTAGAGCTGCTTAGGCTTTGGAGCTGTTGTCCATGAGTGGCTGACGGAAGAACAGGATGGCTCCATCGGATACACCGAATTCCTTGTTGCATGGATGCTCCTTGGCCCGGACAGGCTCAGGACTCTTGGGGTTCAGGGCCCAGGGTGTCGTGTATGGATACAAACCTTAAGCCTTACCTGGACCCTAAGAACCTACCTTTTTGGGGTTCCTTATTCTGATTTCTTTTCATAAGTCCTTAAAGAGGTAGGCTATTTGGGGTTAAGGTAGCCGCAGTCAGCTAAGCGACAAACCCCACATAAACCTAATTGCCAAGGCCTGGAAAGCCCAAACCCTATTCCCTGAATCGCAAAGACCCTAAATCCAAGACCTTGGAGAAGCTGAAACCCAAAATTCTTGAACACCCGGAAATGCCAGACAACCCCAAAGCCTGAACCCCGTGAAGCCACCAACCAAATCCCAATCCCCCCAAAACCCTAAAATAGGGACCTACATAATTACCTACAGTAGTTTGGGGGTTCCTTACTATAGTTATAGCATAACATACCCCAAAACCCTAGTCCAATTATTAAGGCCCCTACATTAAACACTAAACGCCCAGAGTTCTCAAACCCCAAACTTACCCTAAACCCGAAACCCTAAACCCTAAACCCTAAACGCCTTCGAAGGTACGCGAACCAAGGGGCTGGCGAGGAGTGCCTGAGGCTGGGTTCAGGGTTTAGGGTTTAGGGGAGGTTTGGGTTTTACCCTAAACCCCAACCCTAAACCCTAAACCCAGGGACAGTTATGGCTAAACCCGGAGTCATTTTTTTTTTGCCTTCGAGGGTTCAGGCCCAGAAGGCCTACGGCAAGCCTTGGCTCAGAGCCGCGCGCCCGGATCCTCAAAAGTGTTTCTGGGTCCTTGTTGGCTACACCCCACTTGGAGGTTCATGGGTAGTTATAAGTAGGGTTATAGTCCCCTAATATGGGTTATAAGTATAGTTAGCTTGCTTATAACTCCACGTATAACTACCCATGAACCTCCTACAACATGGGGCCCTAGGGGCTCTAATACCCTATATAGTAGGTACCTGGGGGTCAGGGACAGTTTTACATTTTTGTTATAAATAGAACCCCAATAAGGATTAAAAATGATCATTGTTAATATAGCCGCAAAAGGGAACCAGGTTTAGGGTTTGCATGGCAGCGGTGGAGCGAGCAAAAGCGGTTGGAGTATTCAAGCTTCCTTCCTTAACCAACTCTAAAAAGCCCAAACCCTAAACCCGCGACCCGAAGCCTTAAACCCTAACAGAGTAACCCTAAAAAGCCCCAAACCCTCTACCCGAAGCCTGAGACCCTGACGGAGTAACCCTCAAAAGCCCCAAACCCTCAACCCGAAGCCTTCAACCCTGACAGAATAACCCTAAAAAACCCAAACCCTAAACCCGAAGCCTTAGACCCCCGCCCGCCTGGCGTGCTGAGCTCGACGCCAGAAACAAGGGCGACGTTGCGGGCTGGTACCGGACAGACCGAAGTCGCTCCGGCTTGCGGACGGAGTTGGGGTTTAGGGATTCGGGGTTAAAAAAAGGGGCCTTCATAATTACCTAAAATATCTTGGGGGTTCCTTTTTATAAATATAGTAGAATGGGCCGCCAAACCCCATTCTAGATTCTAGTTATTAAGGCGCCTGCATTAAGGGATCGCGGATGGTTCTGGCAGGCTTAGCATCCTGACACATGGAGGCAGCAAGCTGCAGCCGCTTATTTCTACATGTCCGGTACCCTGAATCGTAAAGCAGTACATTGAACCTGGATGAGTGTGGCTGCAGACACAAAAATACAAGAAGCACTTGCTATAACTGGCCTAGATGAGTGGCATAGTAACCATTCCTCGGGGTATGTATTACTCATATAAGCTTGGGACCTACTTGTTAAGTTTCTGCTGGGCTAAAGTAGACCCGGTTAGCCGAAAAACTGCCCTAAACCTCAACCTGATCTACGAGAGTAGAAAGGCCCTCAGTCTCACCTAAACCCCAGACCCTGAGCCCTAAGCCTAAACCCTAAACCCCTAAACCATAAACCCTAAATCCCTAAAACCCTAAACCCTAAGCCCCTAAACCCTAAAAGCAAAAACCCTAAACAGGGCCCTCAATCCCTAAACCCTAAGCCCTAAACCCCTAAACCCTAAACCCCTAAACCCAAAAACCCTAAACCCTAAACCCCTAGGCCCTAAATCCTAAACCCTAAACCATTAACCCCTAAACCCCTAAACCCTAAACCCCTAAACCCCTAAATCCTAAACCTCAAGCTGCAGCTCGGCGAGGCAGGCCTTCAAGACCATCCGCGGCCGCGATGGCCGCGTCTCTCGCGCGGAGGTGGGGCCTTGGGTCGCCTACTTAAAGCATGATGGGACTTAGTAAGTAGGGTTATAACTAAGGTAACTATACTTATAACCCCAATTAGGGGACTTATAACCATACGTACTAAGTCCCATGATCCTCCAAGTAAGCATTTGGGGTAATATACGGGCCAGAATAATTACTAACACTATTTTGGGGGTTCCTTATGATAGTTATAGTAGAATGGGCCCCAAAACCCTATTCTAAATTCTTGAGGCCCTTATATTAAGCTCTGTTCATGAAGTTGTTTCGGGTTCAGATCAGGGATTTGCGTCGCTGTGCTCTTTGTTTGGGGTCGCTTCACGAGTTTGACGACAAACACAGAACTGCACCAAAACCTGACAAGAACCCAGCTGAACCTGACAAAAACCCAACAAACCTGACAAACACCCAACATAAACCTGACAAAACCCAACAAAACCTGGCAAAAACTCAACAACACCTGAATTTCCCACTTTTCGGGTCTGCCCCTTGAGTATGTGAAGAGCACCCGCTTTGAAAGGCACGACACGGAAATCAAAGATCAGAGTTTGCTTATCACGTTCGTGGAACAGCAAGACTGCTGCTTTTGGTCGCAAGAGCAGCATCAGCAGCACTAGCCAACGATGAACACGTTTTCTTCACACTGGATATTAGCATTGACTGATGTTGTTGGTATCATGCAACAGTAACAGGCGCACATGTTGTATGGTCGCAGTAGAAGCAACCGTCGTCGTTGTCGTGTCGGCACGTTGTGGTCCAGTGGTGGTGTTGGTGGTGGCTGTTATCAGTTGCAGTTGTCAGCTCAAGTGCCTTTGTGATTACTGCTGGAACTATGGTTGATGTGGCGATGCGTGTGTGCTTCTGTTCTTTTGCGCTGCTTCTTGTTTTGTGCTAAGTACTTGGCTATTGATGCTTTTCTGCCCACCCGCTCCATAAAGACGTGCTTGTTACATCTAGGTTCACG